CAAATAGGCTTCCGTCGAGTAGGCTTCAATTTTCTTTTATCATTTCTTGCCATGATGGTTATTCATGCTAGCTTTTCTTATGTGACCCAAAATAGTTGGATTCCATTTTTTGGTAATCCGTTTTTCAAGATCTATCTTGAAAAAATTCATAAGGGCAAACATGGGTCTGATTCCGAAACGTATGACACAGAAGTAAGATCAAACGCAATTATCGTATTTAGGCATGCCATTTCGAGTAACTAAAAATTTCATTATTATATAAAGGGTCGATTCGTTCCTGAGAAGTTCGAAGAAGTTTTTACTAAATATAGTCGAAATGAAAAAAAAGGACTCACCTTTGCTGATATTCGAAATTTAATATATGGTAATGCTAACGTTGGCGATCCATTCGGATGGGTTGCTGCTAGTCTTGAATGGGGTACCCTGTACCTGTTGTGTGCTCAAAACGGCGTTATCAGCAAAGAAGATGTTCGCAGTTTATATGATGTAGGTTATATTATTTTCACGATGACGAATTTTTCACTTATTTCATACATACAGTAACATCATTTTCTCTACGGCAATAGGGATCTCTTTTTTACAAAGTAGAAGCGTCTCTTAAATCCCGTTCCTCGTCCCAAAAAGGTATCAAGCCTAGTTTTGATTATTATAAAGGACATTCTAAAGATTCTTAAGAACATCTTCTCAAGAGTAGTAATTGTGCTCAGGAGCATCACACTAAAAATGAAATTATAGAATTTTTGCCGTTTTTTTGTCCTCAATAATAGTTGCTGAATATTTTCGCACCAATTCTCTTTGCAAAAATTAATCTCATTTTATAATATGGCATTATATTTCGAATTTCAAGATATACAGTTATAATTGGATTGAATTTTGCTTCTCTTTGAAATTTGTTCTAAGTACCGGTAAAATTGTGAAATAATTTTTGAAATGAATCCTTATACCGAGAATTCTTCATGCATTAATATTTATTGTTTTAAAGATCTTATTAAATTAAGTATTGAAGTTAACAAAAAATGTCTCGTATTCCGGAAGCCGTTCGACCTAAAACTTATTACAGTATAATATATGGATGACAATTTCAAAGGACGGAAGAATATTAATAAATTTTAACTTTTATTTTTATCTTTTTTTAAAGATCAAATGCAAGACTTTTATTTATTTATTTAATTATTTTAAATCGCAACTGATATTAGATGCGAGTTCTTTAGTAAGACTAAACTTAACATATGATGAATAATCAAATCCTCAGCATGACCAATTATTTAAAGCAGATCCAATAACTACTAATTAGGAATCAAAAAGTTTATACGCACACAGTTATTAATGATATGGTTAATATAGTTAGTCTGAAATCATATTCTAATTTAATTTTACTATACTGTATATATATCATGATATCTTTTGCTTAAATCTTGAAAAGATTTCAATCTTCTTTTTCATTATCTGCAATATTACAAGCAAGTTTTTCTTAATAGATCTTTTGATTAAACAAATATCAGATTACAATATTTCAAGTTAAAATAATTAAATTTTAGAGTTTATAGATATAGATTTAATTAAAAAATATTTAAACATAAGTTGTAATTTCAAAAGTAAAGTTTTGAAATTTATTAATATAATATAAAAAGAATTAATAAAATATATTGATAAGTTAATTTAAAAAAATTTTGTATAATTATTTGATGGAATAATTATAGATTTCAATTCTAGATTAATAAAAATCAAAAATTTTATTTTTACAACTTAATTAAATTTGAAATAATTTTTTAATAATTGAATTCAACTTTATAAAATATCAAATAAATTTGATTAAAAAGTATTTTTATGATTTTTAAAATTTTTATAATTAATAACTTAAAAATATTATACTAGATTACAAATTTACAAATCTAATTAACAAATTTAATAGAAAACAATATATATATAATATTTTCTACTTATACTAGACTATTAACTTACTTATAGATAAACTGCTATCTAATTATAGACAGACTGTCATCTATTTATTTTATAGTTACCTCTAATAAGCTTGATATTTGTTTTTTTTTCTATAGATTAGATGCTATATAGATTACCTTTACATCACTACTTGGGAACTACTGAAATATGAGTCCATATAATATAATTTTATATTTTAAACTATACTTAAGTGACATATATTTTGCTTTTTATAATACATATCAAAGTAAAGCATTTTGTATATCAGGCTATATGTAATATAATATATACTAGTTTAGTAGTCATAATAATTTTTATCACTAAGACATATAAGCAAAAAATATTAAACAATATATTCAATTACATATTATCATTTGTGAACTCAATATGAGAACTATGCCTAAACCTGATACATAGTACTGAAATAGTATTTATATCCTAGTTTTGTTTGATATATTTGAATATTGATTATAAATAAGACATATAATATTGAATTATATTTTAAAGAAGTAGCACAAAATACCTTAATATATTTGATAATATACTGTTGAACTATAAGATTTTACCATATGATTTCCCTAGTATCCAGGATAATCTCAGTACCTCAGATTAACATATCACAATCCTTTTGATTACCTGAAAGTAAAGATCTTCTAGAACACTTTTAGAACATTAATAGCTGATTTTGATATTAGCAAACTTAGTATAAAGTACTCTAGAATATTCTATAGTCCTATTTTATCACATGTAACTATTATTTTCAAAGGATACTTGAGTTCTGTTTAAAATAATATAGCTTAATAGTCCAGCAAAACTAATAGGATAATTATTATTATTATTTATCTTAATTTATATTTTCAAATATTATATAAAA